GTGTGACTTAAGATATTCATTGCTATCGGGATGTTAAGAGCATTCTATGGAATATAACAAAAAGTGTATCTCGAGCCGGTTTCTGAAACTTACCTACCCCACCTTTAACACAACACTGTATATCTTAGCTGTTTTCGATCCACTTGGTGAGAAACATATGGCTATAATCTCCTTTAGAACCATCTAAATGATGAGGAGCCTAACATACAGTGCGCTTATAGGATTCCACTCCTCAGAAAAAATGAGGGTAAATATAATTTAGACATTCTTTGTACTAAAAAATTGCATTATTTATGGATATATAAGCTTTGTTCAAACATAAAGCTCAGTAAATGCAGTCTGCCTTTCTGGTGCATGCCACTCTAAGCACTCCATCAGTTGGTTCAGTAATACTGTGATGTTAGTGAAAAAACATGATCCAGATGAAACTGAAATGTGCGCGTCCTTCAGAAAGTCCAGGAAATTCAAAAACAGTCTTTCATTATAAACGCAGTTGAAATAAAAAAATGGCGTCAGAATAAATGTCAAAGCGAAGCATCCCTCCCATGGTACTTGCATAAATCTCTCCGTTAATCCTCTGCTATATACAGCAATATATTTAATCATTACATATACGTCTCATCGGAGCCCTGCGAGTCTCTCCAACAGTACTACACCAGTGAGCCAATATTCCTCTTCATCAAGACCAAAAGAACCAAAAATCAAAGTTTCCTTACACAGTAAAATACATTAGACATCTTTCTAAGAATAATTGGTGTGTTCACATAATTGGAACAGACCTGGTTCAAACCAGAAGTGAAATCAGTTCAAATCCAAGTTATCAAATGTTTTTATCTCCTAAACTACGGTGGCCGACAGTGGTCCAAAACACTTCCATTAGGAGGAACGCGCTGTACTTTTAAAGATGAGGTAAACATAAAAACAGGAATGTGCCAAAACACATGCAAAGGAAGAAAATGTCTTCACCTATTTGAAGACACATGCCCAGCGTTTACTAAATGCGCTGCATAAACGAAACACTGCAAAATACAAAAACGCTGCTAGAAGCTCAAAACACGGAAACTGGGAACCTAAAAAGTGATGCACACAGTTTGGCCGGAGCACTTGTTGACATTTGGGGAATATAAAGTTTGCCAACTGTCACAGGAAATGTTAAGTTTTATCGGCTTATTTAAAAAATGTAATCACATGAATCCTGCAGGTATTATTGCAGATCTGCCGTTAGTTAGCTAACGTAGCTAACCAGGTCATTACAAATCCACTGACAAAACACTTACAATTATGAAACAGACTAACTCTGACAGAGTGATAGTTGGCCAACTTCATAATTCCCGACCTCAACAAGCACTCATGTCCCCTCCTGTTACCTTTGAATTTTTAGCTTCTTGCAGCATTTTGTATACAAAGCGCTTTTAGTAAATGCTGCGCATGTTTCGTCAAGTTGGTGAAGAAGTTTCTTTATTTGCATGTTTTATCACATTTGTGATTTTACATTTGCATTGTTTTTTAAACTGCAGCGCATTTCTCCTAATGGAAATATTTTGGGCCGATGTAGCACGTTTGCACCTGTCGGCCGCCGTATTAAAACAAACCCAAAGCTACAACAGAGCTGCTTGTGACGATTTCGATCAGAACATTTGACACAGGTCTGCCTAATGATGAGCAGACAAAAACTTCATAACTTCATCAGATGATGGACAGAACTTTGTGACTAATTCCTGTTTTCAACACTGATTCTGATGAAGAGAAAACAAATTAATTATTTTTCAAAAGTACAGAAATGACATCATAACCACAGAAAACTAAGCCGCCGATTTCTCTATTTTGAAGAATGTAATATATTTTTTGCCTTGAAATAAGGTAAGTGAAAGAGAAGCACTCGCTATGTTTTTTTTGTAAAGTAATCCATTGATAATAATCAATGCACAAAAGTAAAAGACAAAAGCACACAAATATCCAAAAACAGACATTTAGACGAGAGATTTTTTTTTTCCTTTTTCCCATAAATATTTTTTTTTTCTCACCTAAACTACACATATTAACCAGCTGTAGAATGTTAGTAGGAATTGTGGATTCATCAAAAAAGCACAGTTTTAAGTCAGTCCAGCTTTTTCTGGCTTTCTGGTGGAAATTGGAGTCAAGTCCAGGATGGTCCAGTCCGGTTCAGGAGGAGCAGACTAGGGCCGATGGCAGGTACTGTACGATGATTGCTCGGGCAGAAAAAGCGAGTTGAAACTTCGCCCTGTGCAGCTTCACGCAGCTCAGTTCAGCAGTGTGAGGGGGCGTATGATGGTGGTCCCCACGAAAGAGGCGGTCTATAAAGAGGGGCCAGTGAGGCTGGGGGGCTCAGGGAGCAGGAGTCTGAAGCAGAGATTGTCAGGATGAAGGGGCTTTCTGGAGGATGAGAAACACTGCGAGCTGCAGGTAAAGAGGCTGAGAAGAGAGAGGGTTGGGGAGGGGTGATTAATAAATCCGACAGGAGGACAGCCTGGCCGAACTGAAGGAGGGGGGTGGGGGGGTAAAGCTCCATAGAGTTTTCAGTGAGAGGGAAGTCCAAAGAGACACCTGGAGAAACACACATCGGTCAAATATAACATGTATGTTCATGCAGTACTCAGCAGATACTATTAGTGTCCTTTCAGTAAAAGGCCTGGACACACCAGAGTTTAAAAAGGTAACAGCTTTAGTAACCAATTTCACTGCTATGTCAAACATACAATCCTATTTCCACAGGTTATTCATGTTATCACTGGCTGCCACTTCATTAACTTTTATACATTCACTTTCTTTATGCTGCTTATTTTGTAGCATGGATTTATACTTATTTAATTGTTTTCATTCATATGTGCCTCTTCTTTTATTTGAAATGTATTTACTTATTTTCAAAGATATTTGTTGTATGGGCCATAGAGTGCCTTTATTGATAGATGCAGTGTTGAAAGGGGGGGGGGGCTTTGCCTCATAGTTCTGTGAGCCGGAGTCAAACCCACTTACTGGGCAGCGGACTCAGCAATTGGACGACAGCTCTGACCACTGAGCTATCAAGATTCACTAATTGTTTTTATTTAATATGTTTAGCTATTAATCTTTAAAGTGCTTTTGTCTGCTCTGTCCCCTTGTTGTAATAATGAAAGGGATTCTCGCTGTGGGATGAATAAAGGATTTTTGATTCTGAACCTTTATAAATGGTGTTGTTGACCAATAGCAAGCTGACAGTGCTGGAGATTGGGGGATGGAGAACCGTAGAGTCCAAAATAAAATACGCTTAATTCGATTTTTAACTTCGTTCCACTTTCCATTTTTATATATACTCTTCTGTTTGAACTGCTCCAGTAAAGAATAATGAATGTAGAATACTTATTTGAATAAACTGTGTGAACTCTCTGTCCCCTTAGCGACTAATTGTGAGTTTGCAAACTGACTATTAGCAAGTCTGCTAGCGCCGGAATTTGTGTTTTCCCTCTACAAAAACTCCTTATCGCATAAATTATGTAAAATGATATTAGTTAAATTGCTACATTTGAATAAAGTAGTGATCATATTACCATATTGATTGTTCTATAAGTGTAGCATATGCGATTATTAGCATATTCTTTGTTTGTTCTTTACAACAGCCTGTTGCATCAAATTAAGGGTTATATTTCACAGAGTTTTGAAAAACATTTTTTTTTTACTTTCTGCAAATAGAGAACATTTCCTAAAATAATGAATGAACGAATATACCTAACTTTATCAAAATGTTCACCTTAGGTGCCCAGCATCTTGAGGTATAGATTGCATTTTTTATATAAAAAACCCCTCTCCAATCAATATAAACCATGACAACCTAACACAGCAGTGCTGAGATGTTCCCACCCACCGATGTGTGCGCTGCTCCCCCTCAGTGTCGCCGCAGAGCTTCAACAGATGGTTTCAAGATGGCGGGAGTTCTGCGGGGACAAGAGAGGACATGCTTCACACACTGAACAGACACCAGTGTCTACAGCTTGTCGTGTATTAAAGTACAACATTAAAATAAGTGTGTGTGTCTCACTGGTGTGTCGTTCCACTGCCGCGGCAGGTCCTCTGGCTCGGGGGGGTAGGACATCCAGGACGGGCTCCGGTATGAGGACGGCGGCGACATGACAAAGTAATCCGAGTACCCGGGGCGGTTGGCAGATATAGCGTAGACGGCTGTTATTGAGTTTCCTGTCAGGTGTAGACGTTTGTTTAGCAAATGAACTTCACTTATAATGCATTTCAACAGCAGCACTCTGTCATACCCACACTCATGAATAAATAAAACGTTGACTTCGGTGTATTTTGGCAAAAGATTACACATAATTGTAGTTGTTGTAGTTGGAAGCAATAATATTACGTTTAAACAAAAACAAAAATTAGGTTCAACTAACCTAATACAATAATCTGTTGACAAAATACATTTCATTAAAGTCAACTTTTCATTTTTTGAGTTCAGGGGTTGACTTGCGATTTGTTATATTGGGTGGGATGGGTGGGATACAAATGATCATGTGTGATGATAGCCTAATATATAATCACAATTATTTTGACTAGTATTATTTACACTTCCATAATCTGCTGCAATGCTTCTGATAAAAAAAGGGCAACATCACTTTTTACGGCAATTTGTCATAAACGGAAACAAGTTTCAATTAAGTTAATTACACTACTTTGAGATCAAGAGGATCATGAATAGGATATACAATATTGTGCTCTTGTAAATGTTTTATAGTAAACACAATATCATATGTGAGTGGATTATAACCCAGAATATAGTGAGGTGCAATGAGGGTGAGGGGCTCACAGCCGAGCAGCTACAAACAACTACAGCTGTTGACAGCTCTCCAAAAGGGAGGTCCAAAAACCCCTCCAACACTGGCTGTAGGTTGAGGGAGCGCTTGATTTGATCAAAAGCTGTTCTTTTCTATCTTGAAAAACGCGCTTCTTTTAAACATAAATCTTTAGAGACATGAGGGGTTGATGATGTAAGAGCGTTGGCCGATGTGCCGTGTTCTGAGTCTCATACCTGAGTAGTTGGAGATGGACTGGTCCACGGTGACAGCGGGGAAGGGGGTCCGGGACAGCGGCAGGTAGGGGGCCCCGTTGTGCTGCTGGGCCTGCAGGTCGGGGGCCTCTGACACACGGGGCTTCAGACTAACATCAGGGGTGGAGCTGATAGGGGAGGGGAGGGAACATATGGCAATCACACAACTATTAAATACATTTGCATGCTTTTTACTGCAGGGTTTTAATACAGCAGCTCAAATCAAGCTCAAACATAGAAGAGAGGGACGGATAGGTCGAATCGGTCAAATCAGCTTTGAACTCTTAGTACTTTTATCATATGTTTCTGCTGCAAAAAGATAGACAAAATAGAACTGATAAGACAAGTTTTTTTTTCTTTTTATTCAATTACGTATCCCTATGCATACACCAAGTATAGTATACTTCAGTCATGGGCATAAACAGACTCCACTGCATAACGTACTGAAGCCATGAAAACAAATGTTTCCATAGGAAAACCAAGAAGGGACAAAAATAATCCAATATGTATTAAATATAATAATCTCAGTTTATTTAAATTCACCCCCTTTTAGGTCAACCAAAACAAATTCCCCTTCTCTTAGGCTAGCCAAAAATAAATATATAAAGTATTTAATATTTCCCCACCAGACTTATATCCCTAGTAATAAGGATAATCATTTGCAACTATACCTTCATTATGAAAGAAAATGACGAAATACACAATATATAAGAAAATATAAAGACATCCAAAACATTTAAATAAATATTATATCTCTTTTTGAAATAATAGTTGTAATTTTTTCTTTGACTCATCTCCCTAGCATCTGAATAATATCTTTGTAGACCAACATCTTTAATATTCTCCTCCTCCTTATTAGTAGAGGAACAAACCCCCAAAAAAGGCTTTAGTTATCGAGATACCCCTACCCGAGGTAGAACAAAGCACAACCATGTTTTTTCATTACTTTAATATCTGTAATATATGAAACGGATTGTTGTATAAAAATATCTTACTGCAAAATAAAAAAAATTGGTCGATGTATGGAACCTTCCCATAACCGAAAATAGTGAAAATGTAGGCTCCTCTGAAGGGGGGCCATGTCAACCTTATCACGTGTATATCTGGAAATAAGGATCAGAATGTCACCAACTTTGGTTTATATGTTCAGGGTGAGGCAAAGCATACACTAAAGCACATTTTGTACCAATACCTTTGTCCATCTTTGTAAAATATACAATCAAACACTGATAGAATTTAGGCGGAAATGAAATTTGAAAGGAAAAATCCAAAAGGTATGTTTATACTTTTCTGTCATTATTAAAGTTAGGAGACCAATCCCCAAAAAACCTTATTTATATGTACCAAAGAGTGTTATCTTATGATAAAAGTTGGTTATTTGAACATTAGGGGCTGGTAACCTCTTCTGTCCCCAGCCCCTAACAGGTTGCTAGTGCANCCAAAGCAACTCCGATATTGACGCTGGTTTGACTTCTCCTAGTTTCCACTTTCTTTTTGTTCTTAATTTGCTCCGTTACATTTTTTCTTTTGCGACCAGTAGACGATGTTGAACCAAACTCTGCCATGGTGAAAATGGCCGCCTGTTGCTGGCGAGTCATTGAAGTACTGCTGCAATGCACGCCCAATGACGGCACGCCCAATGAGGGCACGAGATACATTTGTGCGTGCACGAGATGGAAGGCAATCCCGGCTAAACGGATTGGTTGTAGTTTTTACAGTATTACGGGTTCACTGGTCGCAAAAGAAAAAATGTAACGGAGCAAATTAAGAACAAAAAGAAAGTGGAAACTAGGAGAAGTCAAACCAGCGTCAATATCGGAGTTGCTTTGGCTGTGTAGTATTGCTAACCTAGATGTGTTTAGCTTTGCCTGATATGTAACGTTACTGCAGCCTGCTCTCGCGGAGGAGGTGCTCTGTAAGGAAGTCTGAAGGAAGGGGCGGATTCTTTTTGGCTGTGTACTTTCACATTTTAGTGCACTCAAGCCGGTTTCTGAAACTTACCTACCCCACCTTTAAAGTGGCAATTATAATATATTAGATAGAAAAGATATAGCAGGGAAAAGAGACTAGTATAGATAGAAGAGGTTAATAAGTATAGTTTAACATGCACTTTAACAAAAAAAATATATCAATGCAAAAATGCTGTTGTATAGCATTGAATATTAAAATACTATAAAATATACAAACCATCTTGAAATGACCTTAAACTAAGACCGAACCTGTAAATGCATACAGTAGAAAGATGTGGAATATACCTTTTCAACTAAAATACGATACACTTTATTGAACGCTTGTGAAATAGATTTTTCCCCAAATTCTTCAATATGACTGCGTTAGACCAAAAATAAAATGCCCAGTTTAAAATACTTAGAGCGTTGAGACAGTTATATAGGGACTTACAATTTGCATTAAAATGTTGACAGAAACATTTATATAAGATAAATACATTTTTCAGACACTTTTGGAGTGAACATTTCTTACAGGGTGGAGAATTTACAATTTCTACGGCCCTGCCTCTAGATTTATGATTCAAGTTTGAAAACTAAGGGAAAATAATTTAGAATATACATTTAATACTAGGTCTATGTAGAAAGTAACACTGATAATCTTCTCCGGTTCAGACCTTGTTCAAAATAATCCCCCTTTCTAAATGTAGGCCTGCGCATGATAAATATTTGATGTGGATGCAGAAAGCAAAGGAATGAGATGACAGTACTGGAGCGTTGTGAGCGTGCACGGTGCTATTGGTTTTTTGAATAATCATTTTCAACACTAGATCTGCAGCAGCTAGCATATTTAAAGTCAAATACAGTGTATAAACCCATTTCATGTTGAAAAGAAAACACTTCCACTCATGTTTATTGTTTTATTTGAATCCATGTTGAAGAGAAGGGTGGGGTGGGTTTTGGTTTTTCAAGCAGAAATGAATTTGAAGAAGGACAACTGATGCTATAAGTTGATGTGCAATGTTTGTGCTTTACACGGGTAGCGGCGAGATGCTTTTATTGACGAACGGACTCTGGGATGCACTGACCGTTTATTTTCTGCCGTTTGAGCCAAGTCATGATGCTGTGACATCATGGCAGCGCTAATGATGTCACACTATTGTCACTCGGGTGTTGAGGAGCTCACAGTGACGACAACAATAAATGCTGTTGGATGTAGTTATGCAGAACACTTTTTGGTGAATTTAAACAATAAAGAAAAATTACCATTCTGGGCTTGTGTGTTTTTTTTCTCTTTGTGTGTCTGCAACTACTTTCCTATTTTGGATAACTTATATTTTCAAGTTATTTGGTTGAATTTGGTCTTCAAAAAGAGTGAATTTGGAAGAAATCATTGTATTATCCTTAAAATATCTCCCCTATTTATTGCATTCTTTATAAAAGTTGTACTCAAAATCTCAATAAAAAATCTAAATAGCAAAAGGAGCCCTATATTTATATCAATATCTACATTATAATATCTATGTATGTGTTAATTTTATCTTTTTCTTTCTCGCTCAGTTTGTATATATCCAATCCAACTTTATTTCTACCACACATTTAAAAACAACACAGTTGAACAAAGTGCTGTACATCAATAAATATATAATACAAAAATAAAAACCAGGTAGGACATAAAACAAATGTAAAACACAGGACAATAAAACCATATTTAAAGACACAAACTGAAAACTCTCATGATTAACGTGATGAATATGGATGTGATGTGCCTTTTTTAATGTTTGAAATTATTGTTGAATTAAGTTGGAAAATAAAGGATTTCATTCAGTTGTGCGAAAATACATAATGTCTTTTTGATTTATCCTTATTTTAATATATATTCTCATGACCACTAGAGGGAGCCAGAAGCAGAGAGTACATCTCCTTCAAACAACTTCAAACAGCCTCTCCCTTCTGAAAAGTGTTCTAGCAAGTAGTCAAAGGTTCTTGTTGTTTCTGCCGGCAGCCTCATGCAGAATAAGTAAAATACATATTTCCAAGGTGAGGCTGTTGTAAAATGAATAATTCATTTTTGGAGAGTTATTTATGTCCCTGATTGAAAGCTGAACTGCTCTGACATTGACTCTTCAATAATCCCAAGCAAATAGGGGGAACTGGGGCTTTTTCTTGCAAATTAAAACAGAGACAGATATGAATGTCAGTAAACCACCCAGTGGCGGTTATAGACCAATTTTACTGGGGATGCCAGGCTGGTGCCAGTTATTTCATGAGAGGGGCACAATAAAAGTGGGTTAAAAAGACAAAGATAGTATAAAGTAATTGTGTAAAAATAAATGTAAAATACAGTACAGTAATTGTTATTTGTTTTTGTAAAGGTATTTGTTATAGTAAATTTAAGTTACAGTTGTTTGTTTCAGTCTTTTTTTTCATTTAAAGTATTTGTTTTAGTAACTTTAAGTGACAATTTAATTAAAAAACATAAACGGTATTTGCACGGTATTTAAGGTAATGAACAGTTTAATCTCCACTGTACAACACTAGACCCTAGATAACAAACTGTCCTTCACTGCAAACATCGCTGCTACAACCCGCTGCTGCAGATACACTCTTTACAACATCAGGAGAATACGTCCCCTCCTGACCCAGAAAGCGACGCAGGTTCTGGTCCAGGCTTTCGTCATCTCACGCCTAGACTACTTCAACTCCCTCCTGGCTAGTCTACCTGCATGTGCCATCCGACCTCTGCAGCTCATCCAGAATGCAGCGGCTCGTCTGGTCTTCAACCTTCTTAAATTCTCCCACACCACGCCACTCCTCCGCTCCCTTCACTGGCTTCCAGTAACTGCTAGAATCCACTTCAAGACACTGGTACTTGGGTACCATGCTGCGAATGGATCTGGCCCTTCCTACATCCAGGACATGGTTAAACTGTACACCCCAGCACGTGCACTCCGCTCTGCATCAGCCAAACAGCTCGCTGCACCCGCACTGCGAGGGGGACCCAAGTTCCCATCAGCAAAAACACGTGGGTTTGCTATCCTGGCTCCAAAATTGTGGAATGAGCTCCCCATTGACATCAGGACAGCAG